TTAAATTAATGACAAAAAGGCATACAATTTAAGAAGTCATTTTTTATAGTACATGCTCTGTCTTGGTGGTCAGAAAGAAACTCGTTAGAAAGCCGGCATCCTGAAGTGTCTAAAATATGTTGAGATTAGGCTGTATGATCATCTCTATTACAACCATCCGCAATTAATACGTTTCCAATCGAAAACTAATTTCAGAATTCAGGCAGCTATTGCATGAGATAGTGAACCTACTGTATGTGCACTAATCATCGTGGTAGAGTAGTAATTCTTTCCTCTGAAGGCATATTGACAGAGTCTGATTAATGTATCCTGAGTTTCGGAGATTTCTGTTCTAGCCGCATCATACAACAGACCAGGGTGTGTCTGGTACCGACGCTTTTGTGTTGCCTCCCCGCTAAGTAGCATGTGGGTCCCGCGTCCACCATAGAATATTAGCTGTTGGGGTATGAGTCCGTAATTCAATCGGGCGAAAGTTTACAGCCTGCTTGCTGAGGATGACTGCTACGCCAGAGATAGCCATTTCCACAATAATCTGTCCTAATTGGCAACAGTATGCGATTACTGACAGCCACCCGCCGTCTGATCGACTGCAAGGGCTTCAGACTTGGAGGCCCGGTTCAAATCTATAATAAATATGCCAGATCAGAATACTGATTGGCCTTATTCTCATCAGATATTCAGGCTCAATTCCGTCCTCGGCTTATCTTGTTTCCGACTTGGACGCTTAGCGTAGTGGCTGTGATGTTCAACCCGTGAACCGCTTCGAATATTTAGGCATCAAGTTGTGAGGATTCGGTACCTTTTTCCGAGTATATGCAAAATTCAAGCATGTGGTCAGCCTGACATCTGTAATTACAAAGTAAGTCACGACACGGGACACGCTAGACTATACTAAACAGACTTCCGGGGACTTAATCGATCCGTAATTTTCATGACCTTTCAACGTATGTAAGTTTTGGATAAATTTGTTAATCCTAAAACAAGTTCCACAGCAATGTCAAGGCAGGCCATCTTTGCGGCGGCGTTCCTGCTTGGGTCCACCGTGGGCTAACACCTAGATATCGGCTGATAAAAGCAATCGGATAGCCTTTAGATATTGTGTCTTGTGGGCCTTCCATTTCGTACTTGTGCATTTGATTGAATGGAGCAGTTTAAGTCATAACGATAACGATTAGCAGACTCAGGGTCATGGGGTGTAGTCTAAGTCTAGTAGGCAATCTATGGATGTCTATTAATCCTTTCTTATAGCTTCAATCTCGTTTAAAATGACCAAAAGTAGGTCATCCATGTTGTAATACTAATCCATTTGGGTTTCCCTGCGTGCGTTCGGATCTCATCTGTGTCGCCAATTGTTGTAATGCTTGTTAAAAGCTATGGTTTGTCACGCCTCAAACATTTTGTTTCAATCCCCCAAGGAAAACAGGGATCAAGGTGGCACGCTTGAGATGTAAATTGTTCATTGCGCATTCTCGTTAGTCCGATGACAAGCTGGGGAACCAATCTCGAAAATTAACTAATGAAATTTACCCTTTTAGCCTAAAGAACATCATCTTCTTCTTCTTATTAAAAAGACGAATTTTCCGTTGTGTCCCAAAAACCGGCTATTTAAGCAAGCAAAGGCATATGATCAGACCAATCAGATTGTGTCCTCGAGCTAGTAGCGACCCGAGCGGAAATCTGATTGGTTCACCTCCGGTGGCTGATCCCTGTCCCGGAAGCCACGAGCAACCTCGGCCCCGTGAATGCCGCAACCGTGTGCGGACCAATAGCAT